TGGCGTAGATTCACTGCTGGACTGGCATATATATAAATCAGGGCGTAGATTCACTGCTGGACTGGCATATATATAAGTCATGGCATAGATTCACTGCTGGACTGGCATATATATAAATCAGGGTGTAGATTCACTGCTGGCCTGGCATATATATAAATTATGGTGTAGATTCACTGCTGGACTGGCATATATATAAATCAGGGTGTAGATTCACTGCTGGCCTGGCATATATATAAATCATGGTGTAGATTCACTGCTGGCCTGGCATATATATAAATCATGGTGTAGATTCACTGATGGCCTGGCATATATATAAGTCATGGCGTAGATTCACTGCTGGCCTGGCATATATATAAATCAGGGTGTAGATTCACTGATGGCCTGGCATATATATAAATTATGGTGTAGATTCACTGCTGGACTGGCATATATATAAATCAGGGTGTAGATTCACTGCTGGCCTGGCATATATATAAATCATGGTGTAGATTCACTGCTGGCATATATATACAAGTCATGGTGTAGATTCACTGCTGGCATATATATATATATATAAATCATGGCATAGATTCACTTCTGGATTGGCATATATATAAATCATGGTGTAGATTCACTGCTGGCATATATATACAAGTCATGGTGTAGATTCACTGCTGGCATATATATATATATCATGGCATAGATTCACTGCTGGCATATATATACAAGTCATGGCATAGATGCACTGCTGGCATATATATACAAGTCATGGCATAGATTCACTGCTGGCATATAAATACAAGTCATGGCGTAGATTCACTGCTGGCATATATATACAAGTCATGGCCTAGATTCACTGCTGGCATATATATTATATTGTAAATGCTTGTTTACTATACTGTTTGCGTTTTGTCTTGTGTGAATTTTTAGGGTTTATCACCATCTGGTTCTTCTTATTATTCCGAAATTTTTGGACTCTCAGGTCACAAATTTTAATTTTTTTTTCAGTTTTAAAATTTCTTTCACACATTGATGCAGAATGTCATTCCAATGAATTTGATGTCTTCATTATAATTTAAACATTCACCATTAAAGTTGGACATTGTTTTGAAAATTTCCTTTGATTATTTAAAATGCTGACGAATTTCATAAATCTTGTTTTAGACCTGTATCAATTACTTATTTGACTTAATTGTTATGAGACGTTTCCCCAGAAGTCTTCTACCGGTAAATGAGAGTTTCAACTTCATCAGAAATACAAAAGAGCCACTATGAAGTAATGTCTGATTTTACTGTTAATTGCCCTGTCTCATTAATGGCTGAATGTATTGAATTCAGCTTTGGATATGTTATGTAAAATAACATTTCTCTGGAAACCCTTTTTTTTCTAAAATGTCAACTTCTAGTTTCCAGTGGGGGTCAAAGTTCAAATTAGAACTTTTGTGAAACGAAGTTTGATAAAAAACTTCTTCTCAAATTCTACAACTAAATGACTTTGACCTACTTTCAACGTCACGATTATGCCAAACTCATTAAATAGTACTTTCTAAATTACCAAGAGTCACACGGTGATGAAATTTTGTCAGCATACTGTAACCAATTGCTATTTAATGTATTTGTAAAACCTTGTCCGAAAATTCAACTATTTTCTCGATAAGTATCAAACTTGAAAATTCATATTTCACATGTAAGATGTCCCTGTTGTTAGCTATCAGGATTGATAATATGAATGACTTTAACCTGCTTTTGTTAATTTTGTTAAAATCTTTAAACAGATTCTTTTCAGTAACTTAGAGGAAGAAGGTGACAATGGTTATTCTTTTGCATATTGCATTTAACTGTTATTGATAGAAGTAAGAAAATATTATGTCAAATGTCAACTACAGGTTTTAGGGTGGGGTCACATGTAGTAAGTACTTTTTTGGGGTAACACAAATAAATAAACTGAAGTGGTACAGTCAAGATTTGTAATATATCAATTGCTTGAACGGTTAGCTGTCATATGTATGGAAATTATTGACCTTTAGGTAAGATGTCTATGTGAAAAAAACATCAAATTGTTGGCCAACAATTTCTTGTTTTTTCTTGGTTTTTTGGGGGTTTTTTTTGGGGTTTTTTTTTTTTGTGAAAATAAGCTCAGGTGAGCACCCACATGCATGCACATCTTATACAATAGATATTATAAATTAGAAATAAGAATGAAAATAAAATAATCATAAAAAAACAATATCTATGAATTAATTTACAAAAATAATAATTAAAAAAAATTGACAACATAAGAGCAGAGATTTGAGGGCCTAAGGAATGCCTTAGCAGGCATTTGAATATCAGGACAGAAATTTGGCAAAAAGGCACAAATTAGATTACAGATAGAAAACAGGAAATTTGAGAAATTGTAAAATTAAATTTACAGCTGGAATTTCAGGGTGAAATATATATATATAAAAAAATATATATACATATATATGACTTTGGAAAGACGGATGCATATCATGACAAATATTTATAAAGTAATTGCGAACAAACTGATAGACAGAAGTCTAAAGTATTGAAAAAAAATATAGTAACCATGGTAACCACCACCGTGGTCATTTGTAAGGCTTTACCTGATTGGTTGATGATGCTGGATCCTGTAGCGATACAGAGGCAGGTTGTGATCACATGACCCAAAATAAATTGTATAAGCAACAGAATTTAACATAGACCGAAATGTTTGCTATGTGCTGACATTTTATAAAATTCTATTCCAATAAAGAGTGTAATGAGAAATTTAAAAAAAAAAATTAAAGAAAAAAAATTAAAACATTGGTATTACATTAAAGTGGATGGGGCTTAAGATATATTAATTAAAATTACTTGGGTAAGACTTTTGGGAAAGGAGGTTTTTCTTTAAACACTCAAAGCTGGGAGCAAAAAAAAAAACAAAAACAAATGAAATTAATGAAAAAACTAATTTTAACCCATGAAATCATGAAGCATTCTGTTTTACTTCAGCTTGAAGTCTTGAGACTAGACTTTTGTGGAAAGCTACCAGTTTGATACACTTCACTGCTGCCAGAAGTTAATATTCTTTATACAAAGTTTGGTACTGTGACCAGGCTGTTTTTGAAAGTGCACAGTCAAACAGCCATGAAATGAAATCACACCAGCAGAATAGTACCTAATGTAGCTAGGTGAACTATTGAGTTAACATAGTGAATATGTGCATCAACAAATGTTTTGCTGGTTTATAAAAATCTGTCTGTTTTAAAGATAATTGAAATAATCTCAATGACTTGGAAGCTTGCTCTAAAGTTAATTATCTGTGTATTTTATGATTTGTTAAAAAAACTTTTCCAATAATATACACTTCAGTTTTGAATTCTTGTAAAACTTCAATTGTGGACCTTCAAAATATTGATTTATCAACTGCATTGCATATGTCTTGTGACAAATTTCTATCATGTCCTGTGCTACATTGCAACAAATCAGCTTTCCAAGTTTCCTAGATTGCTTTCTTACTAATTTTTTAGAAATAATACTTTAATGTTGTTTGAATTTTAATGGATAAATCTATGTATCTTAATTCTTGTCTTGATTTTTTTACTTTTCAATTATAATTTTTTGAAGACCAGATTATCAAAACACCATAGCACCTTAATCATCTGTAATATAATTTGCTTTGTAATTTTAAATCAATTGCTTCACATTTTCAATTTCATGATTTATGATATCAGAGTTATCTCCCTTGACTAGCATACACATTTATATCCTGAAATTTGGGTTATCTCCCTTCAAATATGTGTTAGATTTTCTTCAGATTTACTTTCAATAAACGTTAAATATTGTCAACAATTGGATACCTAGGAAGGGATTTTGTGTCATATCAAGGTAGCAAATCCCATTAAATGATAAATTTAGATAACTTGCTAGCTGATTGACTATTTGTTTTTGTCAATAACTTGCCATAAATTGTGCTCTTATTTCTGAAAAAAGCCTCACTTGCATCACCTGTACAAATCTTGATTTTATGAACAAACCAACCAACAGATGGACAGATCCCATGCCACAATAACATACGCTAGGACTTCTACACAAACAAATCAAATTCAAAAAGCCCATACATGATAAAACTCTTAGAAGAAGACAAACAATGAAAAGAATGAATTCGTAGCCAGCCCACAATATCAAATAAAGGGCAAAGGTCACGATCAATATGGGATGTAGTACTAATGTGATTATAAGCAGTGAATTACCAATGACAAACAAAAAGCCATACATAGGAGGTTTAACACTGTTTCTATTTACTGGAACATTCAAACAGATAACACATATCTTATAAACATAAAAAAGCTTAGATGTAACACTTAAATAGTAAGGCACAGTTCTTTAACCATGGAACGATTGGTAGGGATATCACTTAAACACTTGAACAATTAGATCAGTTATGTAGGAGAAACCATTGTAAAACATAAACAAGTAGGAATTTTTTCCCCACTGTCAATCTTGAACAATAAGATAGGACATACCTTCTTAACCCTTGAACAGTAAGGAAGAACATCCCTTTATAACTCTTGAACAGGTGGTAAGACACTCCTTTGTAACCCTTGAACGGTTTGGTAGGACTTCACTAGTGTAACTCTTGAACAGTTAGGTATGGTATCCTTTTACTACCCATGAATATAAAGTAGGGTTTTCCTTTGTGACCAATGAACAGTTCAATTGAACAATTACCTTTGTAAATCTTGAAAAGTAATGTAGAGGACATCCGTTTTAACTCTAGAGCATTTAAACAAGAGAAATCTTTTGAGTTCTGCCAATCCCATCCAACTGAACAAGTATAATTATCTCCAAAGCTTTTCTACCCCCAATGGATTCCTGGAGCCCTTAATGGGAATCCCAAAACTTAGTAGATACACCCTGGGGCAGCTATTGATCTTGTAGGGATAGAGATACTTGGCATTACGTTACTAGTTACGACCGACATAGATAACCCACCCACACCATCATAGACCCTTGAGGGCAGGTACTGACTACCTTACCATGATCAAAGTGTCTACAGAAGCAAAATATTTGCTCCACCAGTCCAGACTCTCGAGATCAAGGTCATCCTCGTCTTCTGTTGAACTCTTCTTCCTTTTCTTGTTCTCAGCTGTTTTCTTCTCCTTCTTTTCTGCAGCCTGAATGACAATATATAAGAAAACAAAGTTAAGATTACAAACACAATATGCATGCTGACATTTGATAATCTCAAATTTTCTTCAAGCTTTTGTATTTTTTTGGCAATGTACTGAGTATATAGCTGCATGATTTTACTGGCTGAGGCAAGTCTATGTCAATTCAAGGGAATTTTACCCCTACAAAGCTACAAAGGTAGGAAATGTCTGTGAGACATTAACACACCCCCACCCCACTCCCATAGATATTAGTATAATTGTTTGATGAATTTGGGGAAGTTGTCAAATGTGACCTCCGAGTTTGTCTGATGATCACCTCAGTCTAATGAAAGGTCCTCAAGATATGACATCAGTTTGGAGCAGGACCAGATGGAACAGACTGTACAAACATGCATAACACCATACACCCCCCTCCCCACCCCTCAATAAAATGGCAGGTTCCTAACAATAAGACTAACCGTATCTATATTAACTTGGGGATCCTTGTGGACCAGTGGTAGACGCTCATCAATCGTCACAGCAACATCGTCTGCTTTCACCGACACCTGTCCGTCGCTGATAATCTTTGGTGCATCTGGGTCCTTTCCTGTGAAATACCAGCGATGCATTATGGGTGAAATATTCTGACAATAGTTTATTAGTGAAGCAGTTAATTTTTCTGTTGATCTTTCTAAATGAAATCAGGATTGAAACAACAAGCCTGCAATATGCCAAGCCTTAAACAACTTGATTTCCTAGAATTGTTTAATATCAAAGAGTATTTTATTGAAATTTTTCTAGATAGACTTTTTTATTCTTCTTTACAAAACTGAAAAGGAAATGTCTTAATGCAAGTGTTTTGTGTCAAATTCTGACACCAGTATACAGTACAGAGGAGAGTAGAAATACCAGACAGGCTGAAAGGGTATCTTTCATATGGAAAAAATCCACATACATCGAAAAAAGTGTGTGTAATTGCAGATTATAATTAAGAATTTATACAAGACAAATTGCAGGTACAAATTAAGATGAATACACAGTATATCAGTCAAATAGAAAGAAAATAGGTTAAAAGTAAAATTTAAAGTGATTCTTAGAGAACTATGAAAGAAAGCAAAAGAATAAAGAACGGAGAAAAAGAAATATTTATCTAATAAATGAGAATGAAAAAATGATTCACAGAAACTTTTTTATTTGTAGATATTTAGTCATGAATACTTAATGATTTAATTTACACAACATTTGTTTGAAAATTTCAGTATGCATAAACTATACAAGGTGCTTGGATTACAAATATTGATCAATTATGGAAAATGTTTAGGTGAATATGTTGCGATATGAACATTATAAAGAATATTGACCAAGTGGCATGACAACTACTGATTTTTAAGAAGTAAAATAAATATATGGTATCATGCTTGATATTATTATTCTGTGATCCTATAACATCTAAAAAACTAAACTAAGCTTACAGACAAAATCAAACATATCCTTATCGTTTAAATATTAATGGTATTGCTAGACATTAAATAATTTTTACCAGAGAGTATTCAGATATATTTAAATAACATCATTGGTCACAGCACTAAATTTGAAATCCAATCTACTTCCTTCAAATTCCATCTGTAATCTTAAAGACAACATATAAATTTTACAATGAAACTTATTGACTATGTCTTAATTACTGTCTTTACTTGTTTCAGTCACAGAGCCATTCAAGTAAATAACACAGCATTTTATTTTATATTGAGTATATATGAAAAGACATGTGTCCAAAGATCCAGATCCAGTAAGCAAGAGTATGTTATGAACTAGGTAAAAGATTTGAGAGAAATATTTCTGCTGTATAACCAAAAAATTTAACCTAACTAGTAGGAATGCTGCTTAATTAAATCATCAACTTATGACAAAAAGAAATGGTTACGGCATGCTTTCTTTTCAGATCGGGAGAAAGCTCAAAGCAAAATGCCCCAATAATGCAATCCTGCATACAAGCCAAACAACTTAATTCTAAATTCTGAATTTGTAAAAAAAAGATCCATCAAAATGATGAGATCTCAAGTAGTAACAATGAAAAAAGGTTATATAATAATATATATCAAGCAATATAGGATGGTAGCTATTAAAGATAAAATTACAAAAGTTTGATTTACAAATATACTACAGCATTAAATAAGGGGTTTGTATATATATATACATTGGGGGAATATATGATGGCCTGTCTTTCCTCACCAAAATAACGGATCATCCTGATAACCCTAATTATATACTAATTACAATCAAATTTCCTTTCTTTTGCATTTCCTGAAGCTTCTTTTACAAATTTCAAACAAGCACTTTGCACTTTTGAAATTTTGTCTCAATATAAATTGTACAAAAGCAATTTCATCAAACAAAATAATTATTGAAATATCTAAATCAACGTTGTTTATAAATTATCTTTAAAAACATCTGATTTTATTCATCCCTGAAAAGGACAAAAAACTTTGACCCATAAACAAAGGGTGGGCTTATTAAAAGAAGATAAAGAACATTGTTTTCATTTTACTGAGCAGCAATAGAAATGGACGGGCTTATTACAAGACATGGGTTTATTGCCAGATAAAAAATGTGACCACTTTTTCACCATTTGATGTTTCTAATATCTCTATCTCTAGCAGTACAATTTAGCAGATTATCTAAGGGGAGATAATTAATGGATGTTGAGACAGACCATCAGACACTGTTATATATAATGGCCATGCAATTTCCTACCTGAGATGGGGCCTTCGCCCTCTATGTAGTAAAAATGAACACGATTATTAGAACCAGTTGTACCCAATAGAAAAATACAACAAAGCTGAATAATAAAAAAAATAAATTGTAGGATCAGATTTGGGTGGTTGAGTGGCACAGTGATTGGCCTTTCATCTAGTCCAGCGTTCCTTTCCTAAATTGAATATAAAAACAACAGCACCCTGCATACCCACATAGGTTTTCCCCTAGTACACAGGTTTCCTCCTACAACTGGGTATTATCCATCCAGAGTGATTAAAACAACCTAAAATTACTTATTTCACAATTATTGTAAAATAAATGAAATTTATATAAATTTATTATTATCAGAGCCTAAACTGAATTCATCAAGAAAACCAAAAATTTGTCTTAAACAAAATACAGACTGATGAGGTCTGTGGATGAAAAGAAGATGTATTTTGCTGCCCCCCCCCCTCAAAAAAAAAAAAAAAATTGGAAAATCTTGTCATGTTTGACCTAATTATTACATATATAATGATGACATGAATTGGTTGACCTTTCCAGTATGATTTTAATTGTATCTATTATTTTTTAGAAGGTATAAACAAAAAGAAAAGAAACAGAAGATGACCACAGTTAGAATAAAGTATAAAATAAAAGTAGAGAATTATTCAGTCCATTATAGATAGATATCAAATTGTACCTATTTCATTTCTGTTCAATTCTGGTATGCTGTACATGCTTCAAAATGGTTAGAAGATAATACAGACTACAAAAGCAGAACTATTCAGTCTTAAATTCTGACTAAATTCATCAATGTGATATGGTTTTTTGTAGTTTTTGTTATTGTATAATCATATTCTTAATGAATTTTATATTATATAAAAAACTTCAAATATGAATGCCCCCCACTCCCATGCATATATATATATATAGCTTGATGTTTTGATATTTGTAAAAGTTTTTAGATGTGTCCTTTTGCCTTGACTGATTATCATCTCAAAACGATATGGTGTAGAATTTGATGTTATGAGATGTCAACAATAAAATGACAAAGTATAAGAAAAAATCATGATTTTATGATGAGCTTGTTACATTTTTATAAACTCACAATCACCACACTATTATGATAAACACGTAAGGAGTGTGAATTTTTTTGTGATAAAAAACATAAAGATATACAAGGAACACACTACTCATTTATATTATTGTGATGAGCTCATGATGAGTACAAATCATTAGCTCACTGTCACAGTTAACTAATAGTGAGCTCATTATCATGCTCCGCATAACTAAGATATACTTATTTTGAGGACACTGTATAAGTAAAACTCATAATTAGCTCACTGTTGCATCACACTAGATACACATATAACTAAGATATACTGATTTTGAGGACAATTTTTAAGTAAAACTCATAATTAGCTCACTGTTGCATCAAACTAATAGTGAACTCATTACCATGGCAGACTCATAATGAACACTGTCCTAATAAACTCATAATAAACTCTCTCTCACAATAAACTAATAGTGAGCTCATCATCAAGGAAACTCATAATGAACACTGTGCTAATAAACTCTCTCTCACAATAAACTAATAGTGAGCTCATCATCAAGGAAACTCATAATGAACACTGTCCTAATAAACTCATAATAAACTCTCTCGCACAATAAACTAATAGTGAGCTCATCATCAAGGAAACTCATAATGAACACTGTGCTAATAAACTCTCTCTCACAATGAACTAATAGTGAGCTCATCAACAAGGAAACTCATAATGAACACTGTCCTAATAAACTCCTAATAAACTCTCTCTCACAATAAACTAATAGTGAGCTCATCATCAAGGAAACTCATAATGAACACTGTGCTAATAAACTCTCTCTCACAATAAACTAATAGTGAGCTCATCATCAAGGAAACTCATAATGAACACTGTCCTAATAAACTCCTAATAAACTCTCTCTCACAATAAACTAATAGTGAGCTCATCATCAAGGAAACTCATAATGAACACTGTGCTAATAAACTCTCTCTCACAATAAACTAATAGTGAGCTCATCATCAAGGAAACTCATAATGAACACTGTCCTAATAAACTCTCTCTCACAATAAACTAATAGTGAGCTCATCATCAGGAAACTCATAATGAACACTGTGCTAATAAACTCTCTCTCACAATAAACTAATAGTGAGCTCATCATCAAGGAAACTCATAATGAACACTGTCCTAATAAACTCCTAATAAACTCTCTCTCACAATAAACTAATAGTGAGCTCATCATCAAGGAAACTCATAATGAACACTGTGCTAATAAACTCTCTCTCACAATAAACTAATAGTGAGCTCATCATCAAGGAAACTCATAATGAACACTGTCCTAATAAACTCCTAATAAACTCTCTCTCACAATAAACTAATAGTGAGCTCATCATCAAGGAAACTCATAATGAACACTGTGCTAATAAACTCTCTCTCACAATAAACTAATAGTGAGCGCATCATCAAGGAAACTCATAATGAACACTGTGCTAATAAACTCTCTCTCACAATAAACTAATAGTGAGCTCATCATCAGGAAACTCATAATGAACACTGTGCTAATAAACTCTCTCTCACAATAAACTAATAGTGAGCTATGAAAATAATAATGACTCATTATCAACACAGTAATACTGAGTTACTTGGTACTTACAAAAAACAAATAGTTGGTCATGAATATATAAAGAGCTACACAATATTGGTGACAATATGAGGATATATAAAACAACATCCTATAGTGTTAAGTTATAGTGTCATTCTAGTATTTAATCAGACTAAACACTAGGGTCAGAAAATTTGTAGAATATCTATTTATTTTCAGAAAAGACCAGAATACTGTTTACAAAATGTTATGTCAAATTATCAGCTCATAAAAAGTTATATTGTCAAATAGTGAGCTCATAAAATGTTTTAGGGTCAAACAGTGAGCTCACAAGATGTTTTAGTGTCAAATAGTGAGCTCATAAAATGTTTTAGTGTCAAATTGTGAACTCATAAAATGTTTTAATGTCAAATAGTGAGCTCAAAAAATGTTTTAGTGGCAAACAGTGAGCTCACAAAATGTTTATGTTTCAAAATCTTTGCTTGAATTTTTTCCCCTTAGAAACAACTAGTCTTTTTGCATTTTTTTTTAAAGAAGCAATTTTTTTTTTAAATCTAAATGTACTTACATCATTAATTCATATTTAAAGGAGTAATAGGTCAAGACTGCTGGGTGGGTGATGGTTGGGGTGGGTTTGATTACAAAACAATATAAAAAAATTACTATTGATAGAATTTCTACTAGAAATACACTTCATACGGTTTTTTTTTCACAAGGCTTTATGTCAGATAAATATGGTACTGTAAACCAACTTATTTTCTTGGTGACTTAAACTCACACTTTCAATGTGTTCTTACTTCTTGTGGGGATTTAATTTCACAAGTTACAATTTAAGTGTGAGTCATCCAATTTCCAGGTAAGTATTTGACCAAATATAGGTTATTATATTGCAAAAACTTTTTAGATTAGTAAAAGCTTACTGAATGTGAAGGAATATGTTCTATGTCACTAAATCAAGATAACTTTACACCTGACAGGTAATTATCACTCTTTATCAGAAATTATCTTTCATATATGCACAGGATGTATTATACGGCAGTCTTCTCTCGGCTAACAAGAAACATAAACCAAAATTTACTTACTGTACCTGTGATTAAAAACTATTTAACAGCAATTGATTTTATTTGCCTGTGAAATATGCAAAAATTAACTTGGTTTACAGTAAATGAAAGCCATTAGGAATACAACATGTGCTGTTCCCATGAGTTTCTCCTTTCTCCACTATACAAGGGAGATAACTCATGATTCATCTGAAAGTTTGCTGCATCACAGCAATCAGACAGTGAATATTTTTAGGCTATACACAGGTTACAATGTCCACTTACCCTTTGCTTCACCTAGGGTAAAAATCATTTGAACCGTTTATATTTTTGTCAAAACAAACAACTTAAACAAGAAATAAGTGGGGAAAAACAAGTGATTTGTCCACCACTCTCACCAAAAAGAAAACAGGAAAAAACACCTTGTTTGATATAGAGAAAAGCAGTTTATACATAAAAACGCAAAAGAAATGAATTTAAAAGTATATTGACATAAATTTTGATGTAAAACCCCAAATGAGATGGGAGTTATACCCCTTGTCTGATGAGATGCAAGGCAGTTTGAAATGTATTTTATGACATCAAAATAAGTCTATCTCAAGCATGATGAAATTAAGGCTACAGATCGGCATATCAGATATAGAAGTTGTAATGGCAGTGATGTCCTGGATATTGAATTGATGCTTGTTGTGTGAATGTAAATAGTATGAGGACCCTTGTAAAATCAGCCAAACAAGAGTCCTATGAAATGAGCATAATATATCCAGTAACCTGATATAGTTATGCTCCTTTGTCAGATGAATTATGTCCCTTACCTGGAAACAGCTTGGAGATGATTGACTTGGCTTTCTTGGTCGTAGGTACATACATAAACTTGTGCAGGGAGTTGATAACATGAGTACCGACGAGAACGTAGCGCCCAAAATTACGACAGTCTACACAACGAATCGTAATGGGAGGACAATATAACTCATTTTCTGGAAGTTCCTGTAGGAAAAACATGTATTGTATATTATATTCATGAACCCATTTTTAACTTTTGAAATCATATCCTCATCATCATATAAAAGTCTGAATTATCTTTTTTATGTATGAAAGGTTGGAACAGAAAGTTCCCTGATTAATGCAATGAACATCAACTTGTAGCATCAAACAAAATCACTTTTCAGTTAATGATATTTTTTTTTTAAAGAGAGTGGTGACAAAACTACGTTCCAGAAACAGGAATATCTGGATATATTTTCTATCTTGACATTTAAGTATATCTATTATGTGCAGTTTTCTAGTGGTCTATTTCTTTGTTTTTGTAATAATCATTAATATCATTTAGATTTCTACTTTACCCACCACATCAAAGAACTTGACGGGTACATTGAAGTTTGGATTTTTCTTGCAAGTCTGTATGATCGATGACTGAAGGACCTGTCCTGCACACTCAATGTCAATACGAGGTTTGTCCACTGAGGTAAGCTGGACACGCTTCAGGTCTCGCACCCCCCAGAACAACACCTTTTTTTTGTAAAAGAAAATGTTACTGACATTTACCTCCAGAAGATTCATTGGAAAATTCATTAATTCACTGCAAAAATAAATAAGATCTGAAAACAGCAAGGTATAAGTATATGTTATGACATCCTTCACTGTAAAACATGATTTAGAGAAATGACTTTTTCAGGCATTTTCAGCATGCAGTCAAATCTCTAATCCTGTTCCTGAATTATCTGACATTCTGTCTGATCTGAACCCTGGGTATTCTGACATCCTGTCTGATCTGACCTCTGGGTATTCTGACATTCTGTCTAATCTGACCTCTGAATATTCTGACATTCTGTCTGATCTGACACCTGGGTATTCTGACATCCTGTCTGATCTGACCTCTGGATATTCTGACATCCTGTCTGATCTGACCTCTGGGTATTCTGACATTCTGTCTGAACTGACCTCTTGGTATTCTGACATCCTGTCTAATCTGACCTCTGGGTATTCTGAGATCCTGTCTGATTTGACCTCTGGATATTCTGACATTCTGTCTGATCTGACCTCTGGGTATTCTGAGATCCTGTCTGATCTGACCTCTGGGTATTCTGACATCCTGTCTAATCTGACCTCTGGGTATTCTGAGATCCTGTCTGATCTGACCTCTGGATATTCTGACATCCTGTCTGATCAAACTACAGAATATTTTGACGACCTGTTTTGAGTACATCAAAACTGTAGATACAATACCTTTATAGTCAGTATAATTTACATTCTAGAACTCCTTCTCCGTAAAGATGCTGAGGATTGGGAAGCACAGAACTGTACACAATTCTAAAACTTTTCAAATTAAACTTACCTCTATCCGATGCTTGCTAAGAACCGGCCGAATACCTTTTGGTACGGGCATAATAGGCCCACGATCTTTGTCAGAGGCGGCTGGGAGTTCAAGGGGAGGTAAATCCTGCCCAGACATGTCGCCAAATGCTGCCAACTGATGAAGGAATAAAAAGACATGATATGATTAAATAATATACAAAGTCATTCTTCCACTCTATGCCTTATTACAGCTGATACCTTTTATTTTATGTCTTTTTAACATTAATTGATGCCTGAATCAGAAGGACATTATAAGATTTTAAACATAGAGACTATTTTTTATATAGATATTTAGTCATGAGTTGAGTGATTTATCTTATATTTTAATGCAAACTGAGAGATTTTAAACATTTAATCTGAATTTTTCCATTTCTTGATTTGAGATTTATAAAAGTCAAAAGAAATAAAAATGTGAAAAGAATGAAAATGAAATGTGTATGCAAAGCATACAGAAATGAAATGAAAACTGTGTGTAACTATTCAAGTGAACTAAAATTACTTTATCTTTCCAAGAAATATTTTCTTTCTTTTTTTATAATGGATCAAAAAGATGAGTTACCAATGTCAGTAACTCAAGATACAATCGTATCAAATATAACTCATTTTGAATGTCTGCATAAATTTGAACAGTCTTTCTGATCTGTAAGTGGGAAGTTCACCAAGAGGAACTACACTTCTAGAGAAGTAGTTGTTTGAGTATTCAAACAAATCTGACAATGTGACCTTGAGTGATGGGAGATAATGGAATGTGTATCATTGTCATTTATTTACACAGAATTTTCTCTACAGAAACCTGAAGACAATACCATAAGCCTCATGGTTTATAAGAAGAAGTTGTTAAAAACTTTGTAAAGTCACTTACATAGATAAAATTCTTTAATCATAATATTACAAATGGATGTCATTTTTCACATATTTGGACCCCTGACCTTGAAATAAATCAAAGTCATTCATTCAATCAATTTAATAGCCATCTCTTGTAGCAAGAAACAGGCAACAAATGATGACACCAGGTCATAAAGTTCATTAGTAGAAAATGTCAAAACAGCCAACACTCTTATTTATTTATTACCCTATTATCAAAGATATTTCAGATCAGCTTTACATTTACATATTCAAGTTATTAGAACATACATTTGGACAGTTACAGCACATGTCAAAAGAAAAAGGAAGGGCAGAAAAGTAAAAGGAGAAACAAATTTTAGCTGGTATGCTGGATCTGAGTGTCAGATTGTTTACATGCAAGAAAATGTTGTGATAATGTAATGTACTGGTGCATGATGAATTCAGAATCAAAATAAAATGTAGAAAAGCTCCCTCAGCAAATGATGTAAGTAAATAAAACATTTTTTATATAAATGTATGATTTGTTTTAATAGTTTTCTTCACCTAACAACTTTTTGATAAAAGTCCCTATCAAGATGAAATTGCTTACGTCACATAATGGTATGATTTTAAGGATGGGATCTTTGATTTGAAATCAGCTTGAAAAAAATTTGGTAGGTATATTGTCAAGTGTGACCTTATTACTTGATAAATATCTATCAACAAAAAAAAACTCAAAATTATAAAAAAAAAACATTGTCATAAACAAGGCCCACAATAAGTCCTATTTCTATAAAAAAAATAAAGCCCATCCTTACCTTACAGGTGCTAATTCAGTGTCATGTAATAAGCCCACAAGTTACTTATTTTCTTTGAGTAGGAAATGATAGCACACTGGGCTTATTGCTAATAAATCATCTATGTAGTGCTAAACACTTGTGAGCAATAATGCTAATGAACCAAATGAGATATTCAGCATTATTTTGAAGTATTGTTTACAAATCTAGACAAATGTAAACCCTGTCATCACTTTATAATTGAAAGTAGAATCTACCAAGAATTAACATTATGACTCATTAGGGTGGGATTTTATTGTGCATCTACAGAGAAGAATATATGTGCATTTATACATAAAGTGTATATATATTGAACTATTAGTCTGTGATATACTTATTTATTTGTTTATCTATGTTTAATAAACCAATGACTTTGGGTTTCTATTGACCAATTTATCATTAAATTCAGTAAAAACTTGGAATCCTTAACGTTGATCATCAAACATTGGTTTGAATGCCAGACATAGACTACAAGTATAATATACTCAACAGAGCTGTGATGACTGGTCACACATCATACATAGGGTATTGTAAGGGAATGGTATATATACACTATTGTAGGATTCTAAATATATTGCTACAGGGTTAACTAGCATCGAACTGGGTAGTAAATAAAGAAATAAGTTACAAACTGAGACAATGAGTTATGTCCCCTTTAGCAGCACAAATACCCTACTTATAATGTCCTTTTCAAAACATCTCTTTGACATCAAACATCCTTCCTACACTTCACATCAATCCCAAATCATCTCCAATAAAACACATCCCTCCCACATCACACATCCCTCCCACCTCACACATCCCTCCCACATCACACATCCCTCCCACATCACACATCCCTCCCACCTCACACATCCCTCCCACATCACACATCCCTCCTACATCACACATCCCTCCCACATCACACATCCTCCCAGATCACACATCATCCCACACCAAACATCTCTCCCATACCATACATCATCCCAAACCACACATCATCCCACACCTCACATCTCTCCCATACCACACATCATCCTACACCACACATCATCCCACACCACACATCATCCCACACCACACATCATCCCACACCACACAGCATCCCACACCACACATCATCCCACACCACACACCATCCCATACCACACATCATCCCACACCAAACATCTCTCCCATACCACACATATCCCACATGACACATCATCCCACACCAAACATCTCTCTTATACCATACACCTCTCCTACACCGCAGTGTGCATCCTCCCATATAACACATCCCTAACAAAAATACTCCATCCAAACATGCCCCATACCACCATACTGTCTGACCAAGACCATTACACCATCTGACCAAGACCATTACACCATCTGACCAAGGCCATTACACCATCTGACCAAGACCATTACACCATCTGACCAAGGCCATTACACCATCTGACCAAGGTCATTACACCATCTGACCAAGGTCATTACACCATCTGACCAAGGCCATTACACCATCTGACCAAGGTCATTACACCATAACATCACCAATCAATCCTTCACATTACTCACATATCGTTTATCTATATCCTGAAGAGATTTTGTCACCTGTTAAGTTGTCAAAGACATGTGTCATTCTTATAGTATCATTCCTAAGTTTTTTTTTATACACTATGATTTTCAATATGCAAAAAATCATGCAATTTTTCAAAAATAAGTATGAGTACAATTTCGAGCTATGGAAATTTACAGCAGAGCAAAAAATATTTTCTTATCAGTGAAATTAAAAGATTAGTAAGCAGCAAATACGAAGAAGTTAAAAACTACATACCAAGCACAAACAGCCAAGATTTAAAATAAAGTCTAGATAATATGAAACAAAAAATGTCAAAAATAACAGGAGAAAAGTAGTAGGCATATGATACCAGTGGAATTTTCCTGGCATGAGGCGGAGTGAGATGGGCCTCGCGAAGGTCAGCTTCCTCGAAGGGGAACTACAAACGGGGATGACACATTACTACACACAGGGAGGAAAGCCACGCCCCGTACAGGGGGTGCACAACATGGTGTTGCAATAGCACACACGCACACACACGTACAATAACTGATATACATATATCAATGTCTTACATCTTAATTATAAGTAAACATAATTTTAGATAATATCTTTTTACACAGTTAATAATCTTACATCAGAAAACATCCAGTGTTCAGTAATGTAAACACAGTGCTTGTTATATATTCAAAACCCAGATACATAATTACGAGAATGAATACAGGATTGATGTTATATGGCAATCATTATCTTTGAATTCCAACACAGATGTTTCTATCAAATACTTATTTATAAACAGTTGTATTTGATCATTTCATTTTCTCATGCTGACTTTCTGCAATATTTGCTTTAAATACCATTCAGAAATTTAATGCCCACCTACCCTTTTCCCTGTATGTTAATTTGGGAATTAGTGAACCCCTAACAGTGCATTTATATAGAAAAGTCCTTCAATTTTTTTCCACCAACTGGGGGGAAGGGGAGATAATCTGTTTTCCTCGTTTTATATATTTTTCTTTTATTTGTGGCAGATATAAGCTATTCACATATTATGATTTTCAAATTTCCATCCATGGCAGAATTTTTATTTCATTTAAAGAGCTTCAATAAACTAAATGTGGAGGAAATATGAATATGAAATTTCACATTGAACTTGGATGTTATTAAAATCACAGCACTTTAAATCTAATATGATTTACCAGTTGTCGTCTTATTTATTGTAATACATCATAGGTTTGAATATTTCTTAATACAGAATACAAAATGCAGTCCTGTCAATCTTAATATTTTAGAATATTTCAGACAGATGCAAAACTTTACATCTGTCTATTTGTTATCATGAGTACACTACAACCTGTAAATTTCATGTTGTCATTTCAAATTTTCTATAAGTATGAAAGGTGATTTGAGTCCATATCTGTGTCAACAGACTGTGTACCTGTATCAAATTTACTCTTTGAGTCAAAGAGAGTTTTCCAGCATTGTGACTGAAACTTGTATCAGACTCCAAAACAAACAACACAAGAGAACACAACAATATCCAATCAGCTGTCAGAAATTACTATACACAAGTATCACATGCTGGTAATTCTCTCTTTAAGTGAATCACTTTTTTTAATGAAAAGTCAGTATATCAAAGGAATATAACCTATTTTGAGATATTCAATAAAATTTTGCTATCAAATCTGGCTTTAGGATACAAGGTTATTCAAATATTCAATAATGAGACTATTCTTTTCACAAAATGAAATAATATTTATGATAATGTGACTATTATTAATATTCAGTGACCTTTATAAATAGTGAGTGACCTTTATGAATAGTGAGTGACCTTTATAAATATCCAGTGACTTTTCTAAATAGTGAGTGACCTTTACAAATAGTGAGTAACCTTTATAAATATTCAGTGACCTTTATAAATATACAACACATAAAATCTTGGTACACATGCACTTGACCAACACCATACTTGACTGATAATCACAACAGCTAGGTCATACCTGCCTATAGTGGACACACAATTAGAAAAGCAGTGAGACACATTTCAGCCCAGGATGCAAATGCCTGAGGTCAAGGCTATTACCTAGATGTGTTTATAATGAGGGAAGGGGAGATAATTTCTATATAAGGGAGACAAATACATCATCTGTTTTTGAAATAAATTCAATGAATTTAAAAATAATTTTGGGCTGTATACAATGTATATCTGTGAAGTAATATTATTCAAAAGTGGATTTTCTTTATGAATTAAGTTTGCATATATTTAGTTTGAATTGACTTAAAAGCATACATGTCTGAAAGCTTTTTTTGTCAGAATAACGTAAAAAAAATTCCACTTTTGGAATATACATATGATACGTATATACTGATACATTTTGTGGTTTTAGATAGTGGGGAATACTTCTACTTACAGTCTGATTTGACAGAATAAAAGATGAAGAATAAATTCAGATGTTCGTACAACATAACAGTATATTCTTACTATTGTCCAATTACCATAAATCACCTGTTATGTACACTTACCTACCCACCTTACCATAAATACCATAAAATATCAAACTCAACCTTACTGACATACCACTTAGCTTTCATTTTACCCAAAGGGCAGATGTACTGTTGTTACTGTTAACAGGTGGTTGGGTGGCGCAGTGGTAAGGCACTCGCCTTTCACGTGGTCATCTGGGGTCCCATTCCCAGAACAGACATGAAAAAATAAGGGGTCACATGCCCAACCACATGGGTTTTCCCTGTGTTCTACAGTTTCCTCCCACAATAAAAATATCTCTGTGGCGCTTACATACATAAGTTGTGTTAATTTATTTCACGATTGTTGTAAAATGAATACATATCATAAAGATGTTGTTAACATCTACAACACAATTAAGACCAAACCAACACCATCATTAAGTATATTGGAACAAGACAAAAAGCTGCATGGTTTTTGACAAAATTGAGTTAGGGTTTGCACCTGGACAAACCTTGCACCAAGGCAAATCTGTGTTAGACCAGTTAGCAAGTAGAAATAATAGCCAAGACTGCTCGATCATTTTGTGATATATAGCAAAGAATGCTAGACCATAGCAGATAGAACAGTAGAGAATGCTAGAACAGCAGTAAATGCTAGACCATAGCAGATAGAACAGCAGAGAATGCTAGACCATAGTAGATAGAAAAGAGGTATATTAAAAAAAGTTAGGCCTTTGTTTTTGGAAATAGAAAATAATATAGGACTATCTGAACAAGAGATCCCAGAGGGATCTTGGCGCCCACCATTTGAGGATCTGCTTTCAGTTCTTGAAGATTTGTTTATTTTTTTTTGTTTGTTACAGGTGTTGTAAATATTTATGAACTGGTCTTCATTGAATGTACTCAAAGATGGCACAAGATATTTTTATTAAGCACCTATTAGCAAATATCATTTGAAAAAGATCCCAAAGTATTATTAGATAGCAGTCAGTTACAGGTGGATAATGGACAATATGCTTGTGCTGTATTACTGTCGACATCCAAGATGGCTGCCTGTGGGCCACCTTGATTTCAAATCAGTCCAAAAAAGGTACAATGCACAACTAGGGACCAAGGGAAACCAATATCTATGAAATATCAGAAGGATCCATCCAGTACTTCCTCAGATATAGCAGTAACAAGATTTTACTCTCAAAATCCAAGATGGCTGCCTGTCAGCCATCTTGATTTCGGATCCGTCCAAAAAGGTATAATGCACAACTTGGAACCAAAGGGAACCTGCATATGAAATTTGAGAAAGATCCATCCAGTACTTTCCAAGAAATAGCAGTAACAAACTTTTAGATTCAAAATCCAAGATGGCCACCTGTCTGCCATCTTGAATTCGAATCAGTCCAAAAAAGGTACAATGCACAACTAGGGACCAAGGGGAAACTGCATATGAAATTTGAGAAAGATCCATCCAGTACTTTCCAAGAAATAGCAGTAACAAAGTTTTACTTCCAAAATCCAAGATGGCTGCCTGTCGGCCATCTTGAATTCGAATCAGTTCAAAAAAGGTACAATGCACAACTAGGGACCAAGGGGAACATGCATATGAAATTTGAGAAAGATCCATCCAGTACTTTCCAAGAAATAGCAGTAACAAACTTTTACTTCCAAAATCCAAGATGGCCACCTGTCTGCCATCTTGAATTCAAATCAGTCCAAAAAAGGTACAATGCACAACTAGGGACCAAGGGGAAACTGTATATGAAATTTGAGAAAGATCCATCCAGTACTTTTCCAGAAATAGCGGTAACAAACTTTTACTTCCAAAATCCAAGATGGCCACCTGTCGGCCATCTTGAATGCGAATCAGTTCAAAAAAGGTACAATGCACAACTAGGGACCAAGGGAAACCTGTATATGAAATTTGAGAAAGATCCATCCAGAACTTTTCCAGAAATAGCGGTAACAAGAATTGTTTACGGACGGACGACGGACGGACAGACGGACCACGGACCACGGACGCAGGGCGATTTGAATAACCCAACATCTATTAGATAGATGGTGGGCTAAAAAAGGCAACAATAAAAATGTTAGATTCCTGGACAAAAAACAACAAAAGATGTTTTACCATAGCAAATGAAATAAATGAAAGAATGAAAAAGATGAAGCAATGGAAGATAGACTATTGCGAAGAATTAAGAAATTACCAGAGGAAACGAAGTATCCAACAGATTATCAACACAATTAAGCTAACAAGATCCAATACTGAAGACATATTAACACATAGCAAGATATCATATAAATCAAGGCAAAAGAATAATAGAATATATCATATATACTATACCAAATCTGACAATAAGATAACAGATTAAAAACAGTCTAACAAGCATGGGTTACAATCAAATAAAAGCTTACTCAGCAAATTTATTAAAATATTAAAATGATAGCTCTGTTTTTTCCAATTAAAAGTCTGATAACATTTTAAACTTTGAAATTTTAGAAAATAAAAAGTAGATGATTTTTGCATCTTGATTACAAAAATATATACTTAATATATATATATATATATATATGTAACTATCATTATATCAATGGTTTCTTTACAAAACTTGTTCCAATATAGAAGCCACTAACATCATCTGATTTAAGATATTGGAAAGGAAATCAATGCCATGTCAAAGGGACATAATTTCAAATCTAGGGGAGATAATTTTGTACAAAAACATTATATATGAATAAAACTTTCAAAGAACAAATCAATTTCAATCTGAACAATGAAAAAAAATATCAGATTTTAAAGACTCGGCAATGATTTATTTCTAGATATTGTACAAAAATTTCTCAAAAGAACAAGGCGACCATATTGTGACTACAACATGCAGATTTCATCCTTTCATCATTCACTTTTATCCTAACTACAGACCGTCTTGTACATGTATGCAAGCTTTGTATGTTGAAAATGGGGCAATTCACTCCATGCAAGTCTATTGAAAAGCTTGACGATTCACGGACAAAAACCATGGACTATATTCATGATCGCTACTTGTTTCTACTCACAGTTATATTTCTTTCGATATATATCACTGTTTTATAATATCATGCTGAAAATCATAAACGGATAATGCTGCTTGACAAGTGTGACTCAGACATTCCTAAAGTGCAGGAAAGTGATTGGTTACCTGTAAGAGTTCAAAGGTTGCCAGCAATTCTCCGGCACGATCTGGCCCTCTGTGGACATCCCACCATTCCAAACGCGGAGGAAATTTCGGCGTTTCGTATTTCTCATTGCTTTTCTTGACCACTGGCTTTGTAATGGATCGTCCAATAAACTCGGACTTGCCCTATACATTCAAAAGAAATCAACCAAATAAAAAATCATATACATCGTTTGAAAGCATTATCAAAGCTGCAGGGCATTTCTAAAATTCATATATAGTTCATATTTGTTCAAAATCTCTTATATTTTGTTAACAAACAACAATTCAAGTAAGGCTAAAACACATTAATCTTTATGACATTGAAAACAAGGATTGACATGACATGTTCAAATATCAACAGGTAACTGCACAAAATAATCAGTCATTTTTATATGTTTACTTATTTACTTTTTGTCTAAATAGCATGTCAATAAACATTATACAACATTAACGGCTCCATTTCCAAGTCAAGTATACAGTGTGGTACCATTGAAAAAGCTAAATGCTACACACATCTTTCAGGAATTCCAGTTTCGATAGTATAGACAAAACTAACAAGTAAACAAATTTATACTCAACAAAACCATCAAGGTCTTTGTTTTGTAATTCTAGTTTTTTTCTCTGTCGGTTTTTATCTTTTTTATCTTTATTTCCTGAAGTTTTCTTGGAGTCACAACTATATTATGGTCAGCAGCCAAAGTGCAAAAGATCTTTTACTACTGTGTTACTAAGGAACTGACTGATCATCATTGCTTGAAAGAAAAAGGTTAGATGCATCACTTTGCCAAGAATCCAGTTCTCAATCACTTCATAACCCATGAAAAGTGAGCTAGGCTTTTAGAAATTCTGATTGCATGAGTGTTGACAGAATATATGTACTTAGAGATGAAATCAAAATACCATATAAATATTACTATTATAACCTTGACCTCATAGTTATAAATACATTGACCTTAATTTCGCATATACTCATACAAATTTTTGACCTGTTCAATAATTTGATGTATATATTATCCTGTTATCTTATTCTATTGATCATATCATTCACAAGTTTATGTGCAGTTTTCAAATCGTGAAACTGTAATATTTACAAAATGTAAGTGATATGAAAACTACTTAATACATAGAGGTGCACATTTTTTATTTTTGATATACAGTGAGATCGTATAAGTTTACAAGTGTATAAATTGCTCTAAATGTATTGCATAACACCATGATATGCAAAATCATGTTTTTGTAGGTCTTAATTTCCAGGATTTAAGAGAAAAGAAAAACAGATAATATTTATATATACGATCAATGAAGTAATGACGAAAGTACAGACAAGTGAATTGTCAAATTTTCGAGGCAATCTGCCCCTTTATCAAGACACAAATATTATCAAATGTTTTATGTAAATCTTGGTACATTATGCAGTCTTCACTAAAACCCATACGCAAGGAAATAACCTAAGGAAGGGAGAACAGAACAATGGTATTGTGATCAAACCAGCTGACAAGATCGATCATGATTTGACATTAGAACATGCTCAATAGGTTGATGCTACTATTAACAGGATACTTAACAAAGGCGATATAGATACAGATACAACAGAATTTGTACGCTGTGATTCCCCAAGGGCAGACAATTTCTACCTCCTCCAAAAACTCCCCAAGACTGGTAACCCTGGTAGACCTATCATTAATTCGATTGGCCATCCAAAGAAAAAAAATTCAAAGTTCATTGTCACTTAAGACCTCATGTGGAAGACCTACCATCTTACCTGAAAGCTGCCATAGACAATCTGAAAACACACCATGTAGCAATCTACCTGAAGATACGTTCTTGGTAACTATGGATGTAGTCTCCCTGTACACCAACATCCCACACAAGGATGGCATCTTAGTTTGCTGTACAGCATGGGACACTAGGGAGTACACACATCCTTCAACAGATAGTCTGTTATAACTTCTGAAGTTGGTGCTCATGTTGAACAACTTCACATTCAATGGAGAGCACTTTCTACAAATCAGTGTTGAGAATCTCTTGAGAATTTCATTTGTTTTGCAAACAAATTCCACAGGACCATTAAGTCAACTGCTGACATCTCCAGAGAGAAAAAACACTTTCTTGGACACTTGTTCAATACTCACCAATGGAGAAATAAGCACAGATTAACCCCTTGGACACTGACCAGTACCTTCGTCCATCTAGTTGTTTCTGACAATGACGTCTTTAGAAGCCGTTTACTCAACAGGGGAAATAAAGCAGCTCTGTTTGACCATGAAATTGATAGAGTTAAAGAACTACACATGGCTAGTACACTTGAATACTAAGTCAGACCAAAAACTGAGAGAGTGCCTCGTGTGGTGACCTTACATCTGGCATGCCACCATTGTCAATGATCTTCAAGAAACCCTGACAAATCGTGCTGTCGTCCAGTAAACTTCAGAGCATTTTCCCGGAACCACTAATACTAGCTTATCACAGATGCAAAAAAACATCAAAGACCTGGTGGTGAGCAGTAAGCTGCCAACAACTTCCCACACTCCTGCAACTGGCTGTTTTGCAACATGTAACAGTAAGAGGTGCAAGCTTTGTCCGTATACTCACATTACCAATTCAATCAAATGTGAGGTCAACGGCCATTAACAGTACGTGGAGGAGACCGAAATGTCACTTAATCTCAGGATCAACAATCACAGATGTTCTATTAAACAGAAAGACACAGATCTGCTTGTAGCAAGATATTTCAACATGACAAGCCACATGTGGCATGACATGCAGGTGGTACCCATTGACCACTGCAGGAGTTGGGGTGACCAGCAATGCCTCAGTAAGTAACAACACTGGATCAACAAATTCCAAACCTGCTACCCACTGGGCAACAACGAGAGATGATCTGGCTGCTTCAAACACACTGGGTCATACATACCTGGCAGTCGGTACATCTATTGCCACCATTGAGGCAACTAGTGTGTGATTAGGATTGCCCTACTAATGTTTTTTTCATAACTGCATTTCCCAATTTATTGCACTTCTCATTTAGTTCCTCTCTGCTTTTGTTCCTATTTAAAATTGGTACTGATTATTAACTCTATTCCAAAAGTAAAAAATCTAGTGTTCAAGGGCGAGTTAACGAATCTAGGGTCTATTCAACCACATTCAAAATATTCTTTTTTATATAAATATTTTTTTTGCATTTAACTGGTGATATTTAGTTTACAGTTAACTCCTTTTCTCAGAGTGTGACACAAATTGTTTTTCTCTTCGATCACATATATGCTCAATGGCTACAGTGCACATGTACCGAAATTTATATGAAACATTTTTGTTATTTGAATGACAATCTTTCATACAACTTAAGACATTTTTTTCCCCTTCAAAGGGGCTTCAGCATCCATTGACCAAAGGAATTATCAAGATACCTTCTTACTTCATTGATCATATATCTATTCCCGTAATATGTCTCCAACAAACGTTTGTTTAAAAGTACCCATGAGTACAAAACAACACAACAAATATTAATTACTTTATGGTACATAACTCAAAATTAATTACTTTATGGTACATAACTCAAAATTAATTACTTTATGGTACATAACTCAAAATTAATTACTTTATGGTACATAACTCAAAATTAATTACTTTATGGTACATAACACAAAATTTCATTGTAAATATAAGAAAGGTACACAAGGTAATGGTACACTGTTTGTCAGGAAGTTAAATGTGTAGGTCTAGAATATGTTATTGACATTTCAAAATAACTACTAATTAATGTGGTGTTAACATTGCATGCTTACTGGATACAAGATCTAATGCATGTAACATGTCAACCGGGGGTTCAAACAAGAACTGGTGCACGACTAATTTAGACTAATAGTGTGATTAAATAGAAAACACAATAAAGACAGAATTGTAAATATGTTTTTGTGTCATAGATGAGATTTTACAAAACAAGTCTTAAAGCCATGTCAAGCACAATTTAAAACTTCCAGATGAATTTCATAAACTCTCATATGAAATGATAGCAAATCTAAGACACTTTTTCTCGTATACTCAGAAAAGTTACATTTTGTAAGGTTTTAAAGTAAAATGTGTACCATTTTCACTTCATGACATAATGTCACTGTTAATCTGATGACATCACAATAGATTTCTGCCTGGGACAGCCAATGAAAAATGCACAAGGGTACATCATTCTAGTGACAAATGCATAAATATTCAATGGCCACATTCACTGGAAAACTGGACCATGTGATAAATTTGTAACATTTCATTGATGGCTCTTGAACACTGAAGAGTATAACATATAAGAAAAATGTATGAAAAAATAAGCTATCTTAAAAGGAAAAATAAAGTGTTTGATTGTAACCTAAGAAATAAAGCAAGAAGACAATAGTTGTAAACCATCTTCAATTCTGTATATTTGGACATAACAAGAGGCCCATATGGCCAGTATCATTCATCTGGCTCTGCTTGGCTGAAATTGCTTCATCCAAACTAAAAGGAAAGGGATTCTAAATTTCCAAGTCTACAAACTTTATCTAATTCCCCATTGGGCCCCACCTCTCTGTCCTGTGGCGATTTATGCTTTTTACTTAATTTGGACAAAATCTTTCCTACAGAAGAAGAATTTTAAAGAATTTGCAGCAGCCCCTTGGATGGGTCCTGCCCCTTCCATAACAAGGGGCCTAGACCCATATACAAAACTTATTTCAATTCACTTAAGAAAGGAAGATGACAATATTTGTTGAATGGAAATGGGAGCATGGGTCCATGGAGCGAATGGGGGCGAAGGACGAAAGGCAAACCCCCAAAGCTATTGCTTGTATAGAAATATAGATAGAATGACAATTTGATTAAAATCAACACTTGAGCATTAATCATTGTTGTCATTTCTGTTGAAAACTTCCATTGTACACAAATGATACATGTAGCCATTTCGCCCACAAATGTTTGTCAGCTTTTTTACAAGAATTTATACATTGCCTGTTTTTCTTCCTTAAGAAGACTGTATGAGGGATTAGTGTTGAATACCCTTTCACCCCTGCCATTCATACATACATTGTTGTGACAAAGGCACCAAGAGTGCTGGTATTCATATTTGGTCTGAACTTTGTTTTTGTTCCCATAACAAAAATGAATATGCATCCGCAGAC